GACCCATGCGATTGGCCAGACGGTGCTTTCTGCAAATCAGGACTGGTGTCTGAGCAGGGCCACGCGGTAGCAGTGTGCGCAGGGCACCTCTGCTGTGCCTTGCTCCGGCTCCGTCACCCAGCACACACCTAGGCCCTCTGCCCTCGTTAAGTCACTGAGTCCGAGAGGCGGGAGTGGAGCGGAGCCGAGCCTTGGTGCATCCAATGTGCACTCAGACTTTGCCTCCCGCCCAGCCTTGGCAGTACCACGCTGGAAGCCAGGACTTTGACACCAGCGTCTGGTTAGCAAACACCCGCAGAGCATGTTGCTCAATCCAGCCCTGCCCAAAGCCAGCAGAGCAGTGGAGCATGGCCATGCGGAGCGGTCGCCTCCCTCCATCCCTGCTGGGAGACTGACCCTGCGCTGGGCAGGAAAACCCAATAGCCACTTTGCCCATAACCAAACCCGCCCTGCCCTGGACACAGCTGCAGGGTTGGGCCAGGCTAGATTCGCTCTGCACCCGTCACTGACCCGTGGCGTCCACTGGGACTGGGACACAGTTCCCCCTCCTGTGGGATACTCCTGGGCAATTCGTCTTTACTGGGCGCTGACGGCTTCCTCTGCCATGTGCCCCTCGGCCCCTGCCAGCTGGACACCGTGCGAGCTGGGGCCTGGGCTGCCTGGGCCTGGGGGTGGGAGGGTTCCAAAATCCGTTTCTTTTTGTGCTGGGCTCCTGAGCCCTTGTTGTGCCCCTGATCCGCCCCCTGCCCCCAGCCTTTTCCCACACTGGCACTAAGCATGCTGTGGGGTTTGAGTGGGGCTGGGCCTGCGTCTGCCAAGGCCTGTCCAGTGCCAGCGCCTCATACGGAAATCCTGGGCTTGCTCCCTCCTCCCACAGGATATACAGCAAGTCGCATTGGCTCCAGTGTTCCCAGAGCCATTACACGCCCCTTCCCCCCTGTACACACACCGCGTGCTTGTCTGCAGCTCTAGGGGCACAGGCGTTCCGCACTCGAGGGCTGGCTGGGCGCACGCTCTGTCCCTAGCTCCCCGTACCTGACCCGAGCGTGCACTGCTAGCGTCCGCCCTGCTGCGCAGCTGGAGAATCAGGCCTGGGCTGTTGACGTTTCTTTAGCCTTCTTGGAACTGGTTCCTCCCTCCTCAGCTGGGACCTTGATCCAGGTGAGCTGGGGCAGCAGCCCATCACCTGGCCACCTGCAGCATGGGGAGCGGCCAGGCCTGCTAGGCAGTGCCTGAAGAAATGGCCCATGGGGTGGGGGGAGAAGGACCCACACTGAGTTTAGGGGCTTGGTCACAGTGACATCTTTTTGCATGACATGTCGTCATGCATGTCCCTTCACACACACGCACACTCCCCCCCTACACACACACACCCCGTGTGTGTGTGGGGGGGGGTGACTTGGAATGACAAACAATGGGTCGGATCCCCAGCGGGTGGCGATCAGGGCAAATCCAGCGGAGTCACTGCACTGCTTCACATCAGCTGCGGCTCTGGCCCCATGGCCCCTGTGCTCTGATGCCCCAGACGGCCGAGGGGCGGCTCAGCGCAGAGACTTTTCTTCTCAAAATCACGGGACGGATGTATAAGAACTGGGCCCCTTGCTAGGCCGTCTGGAGCCTGTGTGGGGTGGGTCCGTCAGGGCATCAGTACGGACAGGGACTCCGGTGCACCTGGGAGCTGGGCTCCATGAGGGCAGCGAAGCTGGCTGGGGAGGGGGCAGTGAGGACCAAAGGGTGGAACTGATGTTAAATGTACTTTGCCCATGATACAAGAAGGGGAAACTGAGGCACTGAGCCGGGTGATGAGCCTTGCTCCAGAGCCAGTGGCGGAGCCAGTAGAGCCTGAGTGTTCTGCATGCCTCCACCCCGGTTCTTACCACCACGCAGCAGCTTCACATCCACCCCTGCAAGCAGGGTTATGGGTGTCTCGGCTTCACAGCCATTTGTTTCAGCAGGCACATCTGCAAGCCGTGCTGGAGACTGATGGCCAGGGGGGTCAGGGGGCAGGCGGGCTCTTTCTGGGAGCATATTCTCAGCAGAGGCTGCCAATGATTTTCCTGCTAGCTGAGAGTTCCCCTCCTGTATCGGCTGGGAAGACATGCAGCCCGGGACTCGGCCTGGCCTCTGTGCCTGGCTGGGCAAAATGTGCTTCATTCTTGGTCCTGACCCTGCGAAATAAAAAGCGCTATCCCAGAGCCCCTTCCCCGGGCAGCCCCCTCCCCGCTCTGCAGAGCTACCTGTGTGCTGGGCTGACTAACAACACCTCTCCCCAGCTGCTGAGCAGGGGGAGGGAGACGGGATCCCCCTTGGGCTGCCTCCGTGGAAAGTCCCGGACACGAGCCCAGCAAATGGCCTGGGCTGAGTCCAGTTCTGCTCTCCCTCTCCCATGTCCACGCCTGTTGGCTGCCGTGAGTTACACCTGGTTCCCTGCAGTGCTCCCCCCCCCCCATCTCCAGCATCGCGTCCCAGCAGATAACGACACACCCGTGCACACGTCAGGAGCTTCCACGTTGGGTCCTTACTAAAGTCCAAGCCCTGGGGACTGTGTCACCAGCCTGCGTGGAAGTCGGCGGGGGCTGCTGGCTGCGGTATAAATACAGCCCAGCAGGGCACAACCGGCAGCCGAGGAGCAGCAGCAGCACAGGTCAGAAGGCTGGAAGGGGGAGCGGCAGAGAGCCTAACCCCTGTGGCAGGGAGCTGCAGCAGGAGCCCTGAGACCGCAGGCCCTGCTGGGCAGTGGTCCCGGTCCCTGGCTCTTCACTGCCCAGTGTCTCGCTGGGGAACGGCTGCAGGGGCATCCTACACGGGCTGCAGCCAGGAGACGGGCAGGGTCTAAGGGTCTGTCCAGAGGAGTCAGTGGGTGGGTGAGATGGGCACTGGGAACCGCAGCCGTTTCCAGGTCAATGGCTGAGCTGCGGGGTCCCTGCGGGGAGCTCAGCCCGGCAGGAAGAAGGGGTGCTTTGACGGGGGGACAGAGGAGGGGGAGGAATCCCAAGCTGACCTCGTTTGTCCCCCCCTGCCCTGTGACAGCGAGGGGCTCAGCATGGGGTGGGGGCGCGGCGGGAAGAGCAGGGTCAGTGCGCACAGGGAGACTGACGCATTTTGTTCTCTCTGCAGAGTGGCTCATTTTGCCTGGCCGGTCCCTGAACCCAAACAGCGCAGGATGTCTCTGAAGGCTGTCACCCTCGCTCTGGCACTTCTCGCCATCACAGGTAAGGGAGAGCAGCCTCTCCTGCTGGGCGGGTTCAGCCCTTGGGGCTGGGGGCCCTCTCGGGCTGCCTCCTGTCCCCGTCCCAGCATCCTGCTCCGCAGAGCCATGGCCAACTGGACTCTTTGCTCCTGTCTTGCTCGGGTCGGCTCCAGGGAGTGAGGAGGGCCTTACCTGGAGATGTGGCCTCAGGGCTATGTAGGATGCTCTGCGAGGCTGGATGGAAAGGAAACCCCTGGGAATAGGAGAGGGGTGGGGCAGGCATAGGGCTGGCTGCACATGACGCTGAGCACGGGTGCTCGTTTCTCCATAGGGGCCCATGCAGATGTCAGTGCCCAGCAGGTGGCCGATGTGGTCTGGAATTACTTCACCCAGCTGACCGGCAATGCCAAGGAGACGATGGAGCAGATCCAGCAATCTGAAATCAGCAAGCAGCTCAAGTGAGTGCACCTGAGAGCAGGCCCCTGGCCCCCACGGGGGAACGTGGGCGGGTGAGGCCGCGATCCGTAGGGAGGGATGTGTTGGAGCCCGTGGGAGGGATGGGACCTGAGCAGGTTCCTGGGGCTGGCACGGTGGAGAGAGTAAAGCGCTGGCACCTGTTTCTCTGCACTGGTTCTAGGAGATCCAACTAGAATGAACAGTAACACCAGAGCAAAAAGCAGCAAAGAAAGAGAAGCCGGCTGCCCGATGTAACAAGGGCTTATGGCCTGCCAGACCCACTGCCCCACTAAGCGGGAGGGACCCACTCTCATGCAAAACAGTGGGGACAACAGGCTTGCAGGGAAACGTGCCCCCCCAGGTCAGGAGCAGGGTAGCTGGGAGAGACGGGGTTCCCTAGAGGCACCGACAGGCAGGTCTGCAGCCAAGGGCTGCTCGGACAAGGGTGAGAGCACAGAGATGGGTCCCCCGGAAATGCTGCTAGATGGAGTTGCAAGGGTACAGGGTAGGGGACGGGGCTTGAGTGGTCAGTGAATCAATGAAAGACACTCCCGGTGCTGAGCTTCCCTTCCCCTTCTCCCCCAGCACCCTCTTCCAGGACAACTCCTACGCGGGGGACCTGCAGAAGAAGCTGATCCCCTTCGCCACCGAGCTGCATGCCAAGCTGAGCCAGGACTCGGAGAAGCTGAAGGAGCAGATCCGGCAGGAGCTGGAGGACCTGCGCCTCAAGCTGTCCCCTTATGCCGACGAAGTGCACCAGCAGATCAGCAAGAACGTCCAGGCGCTGCAGCTGAAGCTGAGCCCTTATGCCGAGGAGCTGCGTGGCCAGGTCAACCAGAACGCGGATTTGCTGCGCCAGCAACTGGCCCCCTACGCCCAAGAGCTGCGGGACAAGCTGCAGGAGAACGTGGACGGCCTCCAGGCATCCCTGGCCCCCTATGCCGAGCAGCTCCAGCAGCAGATTGACAAAAACGTGGCGGACATGAAAGAGAAGCTGGCGCCCTTGGCCGACGAGCTCCAAGTCAAGATAGACCAGAACGTGGAGGAGCTGCGCCAGCAATTGGCCCCCTACGCCCAGGACGTGCAGGACAAGCTCAACCGCCAGCTCGAGGGCCTGTCCTTCCAGATGAAGAAGGGTGCAGAGGACCTGCGGGCCAAGCTTTCGGAGAGCGCGGAAGAGCTGCGCCAGAAGCTGAACCCTTACGCCGAGGAGCTGAAGGAGAAGCTGCGCACGGATGCCGAGGGCCTGCGCCAGTCCCTGGGCCCCTACGTGGAGGGCCTGAGTGGGCAGATGGAACAGAAGATCGAGGAGTTCCGCCAAACCGTGAGCCCCTACGGGGAGGCCTTCAACAAGCAGCTGGTGCAGAAGGTGGAGGAGATGAGGCAGAAGCTGGGCCCCTACGCTGGGGAAGTGGAGGATCATCTCAGCTTCCTGGAGAAGGATGTGCGGGACAAGGTCGCCTCCTTCTTCAGCACCATCAAGCAGATCGAAAACTGAGGGGATCCCTAAGAGGTCTCGGCTTCGCTTCCTATCGCCACCTGCTCACCCTCACCTCCACTGCACAAGGCAAGCCACTGTCTTCCTCAGAGCCAGGGGCGAAGCACACTGGAACCAGCCCCAGGACAGGCTCAAGGGCTTGCTGCTCTTCCTCAGCTCATGCCCCAGCGCAGGAAAGGGACCCGGAGCTGTGAATGCCAGGAGACCTGCACATGCTGGATGACTGTCTGTCTGTGCTGCTACTGACTTTCCTGCACTTGCCCTCACTCCAAAATTGCACCTACTGTATCTGCTGAAATAAAACTGCAACACAGCAATGCACATGGCGACTCTGTCTCTCTCTTAGCCTGACCCATACGAGACGCATTCTGCTATTACTGGTTCTGCAGAGGCCCTAGGTTCTTCCTTGGGTGCATGGGGTGGGGGTGCTGTCCCTTCCCAGTTCTAGTGGCGCGATAAAGTGCCTAATTTGTTAAATTAATGAGCCCAGTACACTCCAGTGAGTCTGAACAGGAAACCAGGGGATAAACTAGGCTGGATGAGGGGAGAGGGAAAAAGATTATCTGGTTTTTCTTTCTTTCTTTCTTTCTTTCTTTCTTTCTTCTCACCAGTTGAAAGCCCTGTGCTGGGATGTCCTGTGGATACACCCGGGTGATTGCCAATGGGAGGGAAGCAGGGTCTGGGCAGTGGGGGATGGAAAGGGACCTGCTCCAAGCAAGGTGGTCTGCATGGTCATGAATAGTGTGGGGCATGGGGCTGGGTGATGGAAGCAGGGAGGGGAGGTGTCCACAAGACAGTGTCTCTGTTAGTCTGTGGTCCACGCATTGAGCTACTTGGAGAACACTTGTTGCAGTGTCTGGGGTACAGACACTGCAGAGGGAGGTTTAAATCCAAGGGGAAACACTTTTAATTTGGATTGATAAACAGACCAACCCTGGGAATTAACATTCCCTGGCTTGCCCACTTGAGAATGACCCCCTTACAATCACCTCCTGAGCCCTGGCAGCCACCAGCCAGCTGTGAGCTCTCATGCACCCCCCACTCTGCCCCACTCCACTTCCCTGCGCAGCAGATCCTGTGTCCCAGGATTGGACGGGGTCTCCCAGGGGTCCTCTTCTGCCAGGCTAAGACACTTGCTGCCCTGGGAACAGGGCACTCTGGTTTTCCCGGGCTCCACTTCCTATTCTAATAGGGTGTCATTCATCTACAGACAAGGAGCCAAACCCTGCACTGGGGTAAATCGGTGCAGCTCCTTTGAGGTCAATGCAGGTATGGTGCTTTGCATCACCCGAGGACCTGGTCTGAGGGACCATGGAACACCCCCAGCTGAGGGAGCGTGGTTTGGGGACACATGAAGGGCTGCTAGCTACAGACAGCGGTGATGCTTGTTAACATCTGAGCCATATTGATATGCAGCTGTGACTGTCTGCCAGCTGTGCGCTCTGACAGCAATCACTCCACCCTGGCCCTGCTCTTCATGGGGCCGGCAGCAGCTCAGCCTGGCCTGGGAGCAAAACCCCAGGGCTGGAATTATTAGTGTTTGGTTCAAAATGAACATCACGCTGGATTGACCACCCGAGGGTCTCTACCCACGGAACAGGGACAGCTTTTCCCCACACTGTCACAGCCCTGGCCCGAGGGCTCCCTCTCCCGGGGGGAGAAGGGACTGCAGGCTCCACGGTGCATTCATCCCCTTGGCTGAGGCTGCTAACGAGGAGCTAGTTAGTGCGGTGAGTGATGGGGATACCTGTCCTGCAGCAAGGGGCTGGAGACCCACCCACCTCTTTGTTTCAACGAGGCCTCTCAATGGCCAATGCACGGAAACCATTTTGGGTGCCTACCACCCCGTGCTCGCTGTGACGCTGTAATCTAGAGGGGTGGATGCCGACACTCCGGTGTGTTGGTGATGTAGCAACGGAAGCCCTCGAATGCGTTGCTCTGAATCCAAACCATATAGCCACATTCCCAGCCTCTGAACAGTCCCCAAACGAGGAGATGCTTCATAACGCTGGGTAGGTCAGCCCAGCGCCGTTGTTGTGTGTGACTGCGTATGCGTGTGTGAGTGTGCACTGAACTTCTTACGCTGCACTGTCCGCAACGAATGAGGAGCAGGGCTTTGTCTCTTTCAGACACCCCAGGAAGGAAGCCGCTGAAGCAGGTCCGTTTTATTTTACAGCCGCATTGATTTCGTCTGGGGTGCTAATCTGACACCTGTGGGTGGAGGGCTTCCTTGGGCCTTTATCATCATCTTCATCATCCACATTCCTGCAAGGGGAAGCCTTCCGGCATTGCACTGGCTTTAGCCCAGACTGCCCCTCACCTCTCTAAGGACAGCCCTGCTAAAGTCCAGGCGAGCGCTATGCTAGGCAAACAGCATCTAGAGCGATAGCGGGTTATCTAGCTCCCACTAGGCATTCCCATTGCCCAACGGCCCCTAGGAAGCTGGGCCTATCTATTAGCATTCCATGAGCAGGGTCAAACTGGGATTAAGGTGATTAACTGGGATTAAGGTGGCAAGGAGAGGGCTTGCTTTGGCAGCAGCAAGCTAGCTCAGGCAGTTGTGAAAACGAGTCACTGTAACCCACGTCCCCTCGGAAATAATGGTTGGATTTCTGCTGCGTGCACAACTCACTCCCCAAAGTGACCCCGAATCTGCTGTTGTGACCTGCCGCCAGGCTGCTCTCACCAACTCAGCAGTGTTAGGCTGGCTCTGTATTTGCATGGGAGACCCCAAGGGACACCTCGCTGCAGAGGGAAAGAGTGATGCAGGGGCCCCAGTAAGCTCCTGCTCTGTGTTTGTACAGCGCCTGGCACAATGGGGTCTCGGTCACTACTGTAATACCAACACTACAGACCAGTTATGTGGTTTAGATACCTGCTACTCTCAATGTCCTGCTCCTGGCTGGGCTGCCCTGATCATTAGTGCCCACACCAGCCACCTTCACCCGTCAGAAACCCAAGTTAACTCAGCATCAGAATCGATTTCCTGAGGAGCAGGGTGCATGTGGAGCCGTAGGAGAGGGTGTGGAGCGGGGCAGCAGGGCTGGGGAACGAGGGCAGAGAGAGACGAGCCCACTCACATGACTGAAGAAGCTGGGGAAGGGCTGTGGGAATGGCTCATGAGACCTAGGCTGTGAGCTCTGTGCAATGCCCAGCACTGTGGGGCCCTGGTCTCAGGTGGGGTCTCTGGGTTCTTCAGTCCTGCATCAATAAACAATACACATCTTTCCTCTCTCAGCAGCTTTTCGGCTCCGGCAGGGAGAGGCGGAAAGTTGTCCCCAGCTCATGGCTCTTTGGTGGCCTCGTTCCAGTTCCCAGTGGCCGGTTCTGCATGTCCCCCAAAACACCAGCCTCATTCTCGGCACTAATTGGCCCCCTTGTGGGCAGTCTCAGGAGTGAGGCGAGGGGCTGAATGGGCCCTGGAGACTGAATGCCTCTCGCAGCCCTAAGGAGGTCAGTGTGAGGCACTCTGTTACCGCTGGGGAGCTTTACCAGGGCTGCTCCTGTCCTGGAGATGCGGAGAGGACCTAGATCCCCAGGCCACCTCGCCCCGTGCTACATTCACATGAAAAATGTTTTAAATGGAATAATAATAATGGCAGAAATTGATGGACTAGGGCCAAGTTCCTCCAGGGGCTGGAAGGGGCCCAATTAGAGGGAGTTATAATAGGCATCATGCAGGAGCAGCTCCCCAGCTACCCGTCCAGGCTGGAGAGTGACTTCGGGGTCAGGTGGAGAGGAAAATGGGGGTGCAGCAGAGCCCTGCGCCCTGTGAGCTGCTCCTGTTTGCGTGGCTCAGGGGGGAGAGGTGAACTTTGGTGTCAGAGGAGGGTCAGTGACTGCCTGGAACTTCACCCTTGCCTCAGGCTGGACTTTGCCAAATACGTGGATTGTCACCTCCTCTAATCTGCATGCAGATAACACATCCTCACTGGGAATGAGGCTGAAAACATGAAGTACCCTGTCTGCCTGTTTCCCAGAAAGGCCTTAGGTATTAATGTGATACAAAAGCTGAATGAGGTAAAGGTTTGCAGATCAGTTCTCGGAATAAGCAAATCGGAGGTGGAGAGACAGCGTCTGAGGCGTTTACTCCCGTCACTGTTTACAGAGTTTGATTCATTTCCCTCAAAACAAATATTTCCAAGCTTTGTTTTCCTATTTCAAATGCAGTGCCAGTGGCCCAGTGCTTGTGAGCAGCCCTGCACTAACACACCAGTGTGCCCAGACCAGAGTTCACCAGCTGTTACGTTGCTTTGGTTTGCTGTAGCCACCTGAGCCCAGTGGAAGCGTATAGATAACGTATAGATCTTAGTAGCAGTGCACGGTCTAGAAGTCAGCTTGGAGATCGAAGCACCTGCACAGGCTATGCTGCACAGAGCCCCATGGCTCTGCATCTGGTTGTATTAGTGAAGCTCAGGTAGGATCCTCATACACCTCCAGGGATCACCTGTGTGCTGGAGATGTCTTGGAGATGTCTCGTGTTGTCTCCTACCTGCCTCGCCTGCTGTGTTCAATGTGCTGCTGGTCACTGCTTCTGCATCAGCACAGACACAGGGGGCTGTCAGACAGTGTGACGGGTACGAACTGACCCTTCTGAGTGCTGGTCGTTTCCTCGCCTGCCGTCCTCAGGAGAAGCTCTGGGCGGAGAATCTGAAATGCCAGTCAAAGGCGCCCGGAGCCTGGGGCCCACAATTTGTTCTGAATGTTTGAAAATGGCTTGGGTTTGGAAAACGCTCTCAAACGCGGCTTTTCACTTTAAACTGGCCCCACTTTCACTCAGCATGGCTGGTTTTTCAGTGACAAATATGCTTTTTAAAATGTTGTTTACAAAATTTGAAATTGTTTCACCGGTTAAAATACATGAATAAAACATGCCAAAAAGTTACATGTTGGGTGTTCTGGATGGACAAATAGCCATTTTGCTGAAACTGGGCAGAAGATGAGCTGTCTGGGTTATGAAATGGCTCAGGACAAAAAGGCACCATTTTCCCAAATCCTTTCCCACTTTTGCTATTAATTATTATATTTCATAGTTCTATTCACCAGGCTCCAGCTGGGATCAGGGTCCCATTGTGCTGGGCAGTGTGCAGACAGATACAGAGAGATGGTTCCTGCAAAGAAAAGCTTCCGGTGGAAAGATGGGTACTGTGGCTACAGCCCTGGACTGGGACTCAGGAGATCTAGGTTTAGTTCCTTTCTGTCAGAGACTCCCTGTGTGACCATGGGCAACTCACTTCATCTCTCATTGTGCCTCCGATCCCCAGCTGTAAAGTAGGGACAATAGCCCTTCCTTTCCCCCACCCTTTGTCTGTCTGTAAGTT